TCTCTTGCTTCTTCTCTCCATCTTTCCTTCCAACTGCCCACCCACTCAGCCATCCAGTAAACATTCGCTGACTGTTGACTTGTACTCAATATTGGGGACAGAGGGTTAGAGAAGAGAGTATTTTCTCTTCCTACTTCATATGGGATGAGGGTCTAGATATGTAACAAATACATGTATTAACACGTTATGGGAGCAAAGGTAGAAGCCTGGGTAAGGTACGGACGTAAAGAGAGCAAGTCTGTCCCGTCCAAGTGGGGAAGGTGACCCTGGTGCCTACTTTGCTTCCTCTTGCCCCATCTCCCAAGTTTCACGTTCAGATCTTTGAGAAATGGTAGTTACGGCAGACTTGAAGACTTGATGAGTGTTCTAGAGTCCTGGGTGGAAAGTCTGCATCCCACTTCCAGCTCTCAGGCGGGCCCTCCTCCAGCTCTGGGAAGCCAGATAGGCCCTCACAGACACTTGTGACTCTTGTTGCCAGAACACGTAGGAAAATGGGAAACGCCACAAAGGAGCTCCCCTGCAGGAGACTGGTGAGAACACTGAACTGAATGTGAATTACCTCATGGATAGTGGATGACACGGTTTTCTGGAGAATAGGCACAAATTCTTCCACGGGAGAGAATGCGTTGGGTGCCAGGACCTGATAAAGGCTTAATTTCTTGGCTGAAAAAGTAAATAGTGCGGGTGGGGTTTGAGGCACTTCCCGGGGAGCCCCAGAGGGTTCCAGCCTTTTAGTCGGTTGCCTGTGTCCCGGATTCTGCCCACTCTGGGGATTTACCTTTCAGACCGTTGACCTTTAGCCATTCTGCTGAAGTAGTGTCCAAGTTTGGGAACTCGATTGTGAGAGGAGCTTCGTGCTTTGGGGGTTTAGGCAAGAGACCTGTGAGTGGCCCTTTTGCACTGTCTGTAGAAATCTAAATTAAGGTAGAAAAGCCTCATTACATAATGGTATTTCAGAGCTGGGAAGTGTCTGCCGCCCACCCAGTCTCCCCAAGTGGAGCGTCTTAAAACATTACCTGGTAGGTTAAAGGCAGTTCTGCCTTCTCTCCCTTCGTTCTGTCCCCTTCCCTGGAGATTTCTGGTGTCTCCAGGGGAGGAGGGAGATGTACCCTTCCATCTTTCACTTGCTCTTCCTCCTTGTCCCTTCCTTATCCGTTAAGACCAGCACCACAGTCTCCAGGATGACAGGTTGCCCCTCCGTGGGCTCAAAAAACAAGGCTTTAGGGAGCTAAAAAGTAACTGCTACACCACCTCATTTAGAGAGCCCTCATCGGTCCATTTGCCCCTCGCCCACATTTACTAAGTGAAAAACTGCAGTTCTGAGAGGTTAAATTATACAGCTAGCATATAAGCAAAACAGAACAGCAATTCCCAAATTTCAGACATTTGAGCACCACCTTCATGAATTTTGCTATATCTGAGTATCAATGTATTATTAATATTTTTAAAAAATTAAACATGTAACATTAAAGCTTTTTAGTTATGAATTTAATGCTTTTTTTAGAGACTGGATCTTGCTGTGTTGCCCAGGCTGGAGTGCAGTGGCACAATCATAGCTCACTGCAACATCGAACTTCTGGGCTCAAGTGATGCTCCCACTTCAGCCTCCCAAGCTGCTGGGACTCCAGGCATGTACCACCATGCTCAGTTATTTA